ACTGCTCTGTGATAGACTGGATAAGAGAATAGTTCAACAATTTAAGAATAAAGTTTCTTAACTTTTAAGTGCAAAGAATTCTGGAATTTTATCATTTATACCGTATGTTATTATTAAAATGCTTCAGAAAATCCAGCCAAGTTCTTGAACCAATGTGAGAAATTTACATTCACATATAGTAATGACTCATTCTGTAATGAAGTCAATGCATTGGGTCAGACACCATGCAAAAAAGAGGGAAAAAAAGAGAACAACAACAACCACCCAATACTTTAAACACATGTAGGAATGCCCTTCTCTGGGCCCTAGCTCACTAAAGAAAGTCTGCCTGAACTTTCCACCCGTGTTGGGAAATTACCGATCCAAAAACTAATTTCAGCATCTCCATCCTCATAGATGCTCAGAGTTTTTCTAAATAATTTCTAAGAGACTTGTTTGAAGGATCTTTTTTAGGCTTTATAGTTAGGAGAAACTCGGCCTCAGGATACCTTCACATGTGTGTGAAGGTGTAAGGTTGCCTTCTCCCTCCTCTCCCTCCATTCCTGCTGTCAGTAGACTTTGTCAGGCTTTGATCTTTCTATCATTAGTCAGGTATGCAGAGACACAGGCAAACCACCAACTTGTCTTTTTCTCTCCCCTTCTTGCTTTTTCTTTTCTTGTGCTCTCCCACGCTCTACCTAGAGAAAACCTGCTGACCTGCTTGTCTTCTCTACTCTCTGTCAAAGATAGAAAGGTAGAGCAGCGTCGTTTCTTTGAGCTTGACGAGTACAGAAAGTGACAGTTTCTGTGCTCTCTGCCAGCTCTATTTTTCCACATTCTTTAAGAACAGGGTGGAAGAGTCTCGGTGTCCATCCCTGTTGGTCACTAGCAGTGCATGTCTCCCTAAAGTCACACATTGGAATATTTGGAAGTTGGTTTAAGAGAGCACTTCTTAAAGATGTGTTTACTCGTGTCATGAAGTCTAACAGCTGTTTTTACAACAAAGAAAATTGGTACAGTTCATTTTGTTGTTGTTGATTTGTTACTTCAAACAGCTAACCCTTTAATATAACAGCACACATAATAAATCTGCTAATTAAAAAACAACAAACAAACAAACAAAACAGTCCATTAAAAACTAACTTTTGAATTGTTTTACTGTAATATACTTAAAATTTTCTGCACGTAGAAATGCAGGCTGACCATTCGTTAGGATAAAAAAAAAAAAAGGCTTGCATAAGAGAGGAAATACCCGTCTCTGGTGATATTCCAAGCTGAAATTCTTGGAGACAGAACTATTTGAATACTTTCACAGCTCCTGATTAAATATGTTGCAGTATCCTTGTCCTTTAACTAAAGGACCAGAATACGTACCTGTGACCATACAGAAGTACTCGAGTAAAACCAATCTCACATAATTGTATTCACACCAACTGTTCATCGAAAAATCTTTAAAAAACAAAAGACTTGAGTTTGGTACCTCTCTCACATCTAAAGTCAATATGTGAGAGGTTTAAGTGATAAACTGATATATTCTGCAAAGACTAGGGATCTTTTAGGGTCACTGGTTGCATGACTACAACTGGATTCCTTTTTATATCATTTCCTATCATGCTTTGTGTGGAAATTTACAAGGAGAAAAACTTGCTGAACGGTGGAGCAGAAACAGTGGGGGCTTTTGGCTACAGCTGCTCTTTGTGTGTGCAATGATTTGTTCTGTGAAAACAGAAAAAAGATGAAAAGAGCAGAAGATGGACATAAGTGAATGAAGAAAGAGCACCTAGTGATTGTTGGCGTTGCTCACATGATTGAATGTCAGGATTTGCATAAAACCTGCTTGGTTTTACTGGGGGGAAAATAAAATAAATAAGTAGTACAGGTATACACAATTCCAGGCAAGGTTTTCTTTATCATTTGGATAACCAGAGGCATATCCTTGAAATTTCACTTCTTGTTTTAATAATTGCATATCTCAGAGTTTAAATTTATATTTAAACATCTTTACATAGAAAGGGGAGTTTCCCTGGTCCAGCACACAAATCAAAGTGGGCTGTATGTTAAGGTTGGGCAATTGGACGAATGTTGGACTTTTCACTGGTCGTTTTTACAAGAGCGATTTATTTACCTATTTATTTATTTGCCCATGAGTAAGTTTGCTAATAATGCTGGTTGAAGCTAAGACAAGCAGTCAACAGGAATTTTATTTATTTATTTATTTTTAAAGGGCTGTTTTAACGTCACCCTCTTCCAGCTGTGTGCAAATGCACCCTCCTCAGAGTGTGCGCCCAAATGTAGCAGCGATTCATTTACTCAAACTCATAATGAAAGAAAGGCGGTAGCCTATGTTAAAACAAACAAAAACATTTTATTTAAATTAAAAAAACAAAACAAAAACACAATGCTGGGGAGGGAAACAAAGAGAAACTGGCTTCTTTTTTCCACTATACCCGTGTTTACAGGCCGTTTCACTGTTTATCAGTCTCACTGTGCACTGTGTCCACCAGGGGCTGTCCTTTCCATGTTATGCTGCTGGTGAAAAGCTTTTCCAGAGCTTGTTGATGGAGCTGCAGACGCTGGTGATAGCCTGGCATACTCAGTGGAATGGTGGACACGTATTTGCTCATTCAAGTTAGTTGCGTGAGTCCTTTGCTGGCACTATACGTCTGGACAGGCGGCACATCCCTTGGGTTACATCCTCAGGTTTACCTCTTTCATCCGGTTTAAAGCCAAAGAAATCCCCCATTGGCGACTTTGTATTTTCTTTTGGCAAATAGTTCCTCCATGTTTGGACTTATTCTGTGTTCTAAAAGCTTTCTGTGCATGTATAAATTGCTCCGCCCATCAAAAAGTCACCTCCACGAATATATCACCTATCGTCATTTATTGGACTGATGAATGTCGGTCAGAAAAATGTTTACATATTGCCCAGCTGTACTGTATGTGGCCCATAATGTGAAATGAATTTGACATCCCTGTTTTAAAGTGATTTTTTTCATGAGATTCATGGTTAATTTTGGAGGTGTGCAGGTTTTTATCTTCTAGTTTTTAATCCTAGATAATAAAAAATTTTAAAAAAGAAAAAAAGAAAAACAGTGAAAAATGCTTTCTCCACAGTCCTGATGGTTTTCCTTTGGTGGAGCGATACCTTATGACATAGGTGTCAAACTCTGGCCCGCGGGCCAAATTTGGCCCGCAGCCTAATTACATTTGGCCCGCAAAGCCATACCAAATTACTATTAGAGCTGGCCTACTGGTATTATACAGCTAATATATACATTGTTTAGTATTAAGCTTTGCTTGTTCCACATTCAGTTTTTCAGCAAAACTTGTTTGAGTCCATAAGAAGATTCATTCTTAAATCTGGAGGAAGATATTTTTCAATAAATATTAATGTTAGCCCGTGACCTTGTTCTAGTTTTGAATTTTGGCCCACTGTGTATTTGAGTTTGACACCCCTGCCTTATGAGGACAAAGATGGTGAATTCTGCTTTGTTTTTCTAAATTGAGTGGAAGGATTTAATGCCTATGAGTAAAAAAGGCCACAGTGCAATAGAGGACCTGATTTTTATGCATGTCTACATTTTAAAACTACTTGCCGGTCTACACACTGAGGTGAAATGGTGCTTACTACCATGTTCTGGGGTTTCATTTAATTATGAGAAAAGCAACAGTTGATTAACTAACCACAGGGTGGCGCCTGCCCTGAAAGTTTCCCCTTATGTGTACCTTGAACCGGAATTAGTGCTGAGCTTTAGCCATGATGTGGGACAACAGTTCCAGTAGCAGAGAGTTTCCTCAGTTTCTTCCTGCTCTCACAAACCTCTACAATACAAGAAATTCTCTCCATCCATGTTATTTTATCATGTTTTGGTTCTTCTTGCCAATTTTTGTTTTAGTTTTTTAACTGAAAATTGTTTTTTGAGGCTTTTTTCAAAAATTGTGTCTGCCAAACCACACTCAGCAGTTTACAGTTTCTTTCTTTTTTGGGAATATGAATTAGTTGGTGCAACAATCTAGGCAGAGCAAAACCATATCACTTAAAGTGTAAATGCATATCCTTAAATAAAAGTATGTAATGAAAATGGTAGGTCTAAGAGCTTAAATGTAACATTTTAAAAGGTTACAGGTTAACAATGATGCCGTCTTTGACTCACTGGCTGGTTAAATTTTAATGTTTGAAACAACTCAGTTGTGACTGTGGAAATGGAAAGAGGCTGAATAAAGTATTGTTCCGTGAAGAGGGCTTTTATTTTTCCACTGTCATGGGACAGTGAATATGGTGCACAATATCTGAAGCTGTGTCACCTAAAGAAAAAAGGCTTCCCCACTATCACTTTCTCGCCTCAGTCAATTTTCCATGACAGCCCAAGCATGACTACTAGAGAGCAAGCAACTGTCCTTCCTTGGATAAAGTTTTAGTTTTCACTTGTTTCTGCTGACTTATACAGCAGTTTGACTAACATGGCATGAGCACATTACGGAAAAGCAGTTGCTGTAATATAAATTGATGGGAACTCCTAAAAACATTTGCGTTAATAAAGTAACAATTGAATTTTACATGCACATGTATTTTACATGCACATGGTTTGTGGCGTCAAAAAGACAAGTGTAAAAAGTACTCTACTATTACTTGAGAAAAGCATTCTGTTACTACAATAAAAACAAATATATCCATGTAAAACATGTACATGAATATTATTCAAGCCATTTAATCCGAGGTACACAGAGTATGTAATGATATAAACTGACCACATGGTGGCACAATCTGCACATGAAATGCAAAGACCTGTCCCTAGAAGACTCCTGAGAATACTGAAAGCTGGTAAATCATCCCTGTCTTGTTTAACATCTAATCCCCAAGTTCCTCTATATGACATTTCAGATGAGTTTGAGCACTTCAGACAATTATAGGCTGCGCTCCTTTCCAACCATCAGGTTAGACAGAAAATATGGATATGTAACAACAACAAAAGCATCGTTAACCATGTTAATGAAGAAGCATGTGTACATTTAGTACTCACATTTTCAATGACAAACGTCCATTCTTTGTCCTCAAACTCCTCTGCGTGGGGGTCCTACAAACAAGACAACAGTTATTTAATTAAATTCTAATTTTCACTTTGGCCGTGTGCCAACAGACAGAAAACTGTGAGTGAGCTCAACAGCTTCCAACCCACTATCATCTCTATTCACCTCATGACCCAGTTTTTATGTTCCATTTCCCCTTATAAATCGTTTGCATTACTGAGGTGACTTTCAATTACACAAGGTTGAGCTACTGAATCCACAGATGGAAACATTAAAATGCAGAAAATTTCTATGTACTTTAAGCATCTCTGTGTTGCCTCTCTTCCCATCTTCCTGTCTGTTTAAAATCGACATAATGAAAGAAGAGAGGAACGGAGGCAGGAAGCAGCCCGGCCTTACTGTGCTGCGGTGGGTGACCTTCACTGCCCTCCAGTACTCTCTTAAGCACATGCACAGTACACACAAACACAAGACAGAGCTGGACACAGTACAAAGAGAGAAAGCACAGCTGCATGTCAAGTGGTAAACACTAAAAACTGGGCCCATTGAAACCAGATGGTTGGATGCAGGTTAAACCAGTACAATCACTTCAGGTGCTAAAGCATCTGCACATATATTATGCCAGTATTTGGACTGTGGGAGTCAAATTGCAGAACAGGTGATATGATAGGTTGGATTTCAGAGATGCATTAAACCCTGGTTGCAATGGGCATTTCAAGGATGGTCAACTGACATACGTCGACACCAGGGGGCAAGCCCCAGACTAAAAACACACTTATGACTTATGGGGCACAGCTCAGGTTTAGTCTCTACACCTTTACTAAAGTATTAATGCAAACAATGGCCAGATTTAAATAATAATAGTGATATAAAAGCTTTAAAGCTGATCCACCCAACAAACATAGGAGAGATTTTAAACCAGACTTCATTTAAAAGGTAGAGGAGGAGTTTCTCTAGTGAGGACAAACACAAATGTACAGTCTGCTGTTTGTTGCAGCCTCTGCGTGTAATACACGAGTCTGATTGCCTTTTTGTCTGGCTGAGCTCAGGACACACTCCCAGAAATCAATATACCTGCAGTCTAGTGTAACAATCAGACAATGCCCACACACAAACACAGAAAATAACACAGCCTTCTCACATACACCCCCCCCCCAACTGTAAACTTGCTATTATTTCACATCCCACATAAACTGCTTTTAAGCACCAGCAGAGTGAGGCGTTATCAGCTGTTTTAGTGCTGCTGGTAAACAGAAGCTGCAGATCACACACAGCATGCACCTTCTTCTGTGACATATCGTTTTCATTAACAAATTCCAACATTAGTGACAAGGATTTTATTATTTTGTTAAATATTTTTAAAATATGAACAGGAAAATGCTTGTCCTTTCCAATAATTCAGAACCGAACAACTCTTGTGGTACTCTCAGTGAGATTTGTTTTCAGATACTTTAAAATAAAATTAAAAAAATAAAATGTCACAAGTCAAATCCAGCTACCGGTAATTTAAAACTCAATAGGGTAAAAACAATAACTGCCCACTTTTATTATGCACATTATCTCTGGTAGGATTGATCTGTCTGCATAATGAGCAGCCAGAGCACTGCTTACTTCAGTTAATATTTAATCTCATTCTTTTTTTTACTATATACAAAGTTCAGCTAAGGCTGTCTGGTAGTGTACATCCCCCCGAGGCTACAATAATGCAGGGCTCAGCTAGTTCAGCTAGCTTGAGGCCAGAAAACGCTTTGACAGGATCTTAAAATCATGGTTACGTTTCCCCTCACTTTCAGTTACCACAATTCAGAAGAAAAAAAAATCAGAAGTGTAAGTTATTAGTTATTAGAGACAGGATTTTTGAAAAAGTACTGTAAAATCGGGGCACAAACCTAGTCTCATTTAAAAAACATATAATGTGTAAAAACTGGTGCAGTTTCCTATAACACAGGTAAAATGACCCAGGTAACGTTAAAAGCCCTTTATAACATTTAGGCGTTATAGGACCAGAGAGGTGACCTGAACAGGTCTTAAAACTCTCAAATCTACAGAACTGTAGGCTAGGGATGTGCATGACTATCCAAGCAGAGGACTGAATGTCCCTGCTGACAGGTACCACCAGAAATATAATAATTGAAACTAAGCTCATATTTTATTGTTATACAACATCAATTAATTATTTCTGTAACCAAGCAAGGTTACCAGAGCAACTCTGCATGCAGCTTTTGACCTGCAATTGACCAGGAAAGTATTTGCCAGTAATATAACTACTGCAGATTAGGGTGTTAATGCATTTTCAAAGGGTCTGATTCTGTCTGGGGTTTTACTGTAGACAGTATTTCCAGCATGAGCTTTATGCTACACGCACAGAAAACTGAAAAGCTGTGAAAAATAATAAAGTCAAGAATCTAAAGAGAATCAGGCCCTGCATCTTTTTTCCCCCTAACGACTCTGTGAGATCTTTAATACAACTATAAATATTCACAACGTTTCCCTTTCACTCAGTGTAAAGCAGTTGAAATACAGCATAAAAATGTTCTCATTTAATGCACTATCCATTTATAAAATGGATGACACTCAGTCTGAGATGTCTTAAGGAAAATGAGCACCATTTCAACTTTAAGTCTCAGTTTTTCAACATTATAAAGAAAGGCTGCTTTAGTAAATCAAATAAACCTCTCAGCACAGCTACTTTACTTTCCTCTTAAAGAAATAAATCTGTATTGTTAGATAAAACATTATTGGCAGCTCATTACTCTGAGTCTGACAATTTAATTTAAAAAATGAAATGTATTGTTAATCCACTGGAAAATCTTTTTGTCGACAGACAGGAAATTTTGTTTAATTGTTCATCTATGGGGGGCCTATAAGTACCACTTCTTCCCACTAATTTTCAAGCACCTGTTGTACTAGAAGACAATATTTTCCTTCCTCTATATATGCTCCATCTTGTATGTATGTACACATATGCACAAAATAAATGATCAATTAATCAATCTAATTTTTTTAAATATTCATGCAACATCCAAAACCTTGTCTGGTGTCTTTTTTAGTAAGAATGGTGTCAAAGTGACAATGATTCAACCTTCTTGGATTAAAATACCAAAATAATAAAGTCAAACATTCTTAAAAATGATTTACACTGCGACTCCCATCAACAACTCTTGAAGACCAAATAGTGAAAAGTTATGCCGACCTTCTTTGCACAGCATTAGATGCTTTCATTGTCCAATCATGGTTCACAGACTGTATTATTAACCACCCTGATCTATGACCTGCTCCTGGCTGTGTTCGTGTAAACTAGGATGATGTTTCAGAGTTTCTTTATTTTTATTATCCAGAATGAACAAAAACCTTTCTACCAAGGCAGCAGGCTTACAGACTGCATTCTATTGCCGTTTGATTTGAGCTCCATCCAACTTAATGGTTGAATGGTGCCTTCAATGGTTTTGCATTTTGTCTCATTACCAAAACAGCTTTATTACTTCCTCTGAGACAGGAAGTGGAAGTGGGCCTAAAAAAAAGAGGCACTAATAGTACAGTTACGCTCAACAACCACAGACTTCAAAAAACTGAGCCAGTACACACGAAAGCAGACGTAAGGGTTTGTTTTTACAGATGTCTGGAGGTGACGTCTTTACTCTATTTGAGGGTTTCTGTGTCAAGTGCCTTGGGATTGACTAGATTTTCATGTATTTAGTATCCAAATTGTTAAAAACCACCACCACCACTTCACAAAGCAAGACAATTATGGTAGGTATTTGTGGTAGGAGTTATGGGTAACAAGATTCTGAGCTCTGAGCTGACCTGTTGTCAGCTCAGGTCAGACCCCTTGTCTGACAGGTATCTGTCAGACAAGGTGACAGATACCTGTTTAAGTGTACAATAGAAGCAGAATTTTTGGCATAAGCCATTTGTAAAGATCATATTACACAAGTGTGATTGAACATTTTATTAAACTAATATTTAATTACCAAATTCAACCAATCATGATGCTTTGACTGAATCCTTCAGCCCCTGTGTCTTTAGCACTTTAGTAGCATGATGACAATTCCATGCTACACACTCTAGATTTCTATTAACCAAGGAAGAAAAACTGCCTCAGAGCATCACAGAGTCACCACCATGCTTCACTGTAGATGGCATCATTCTTCCACCTCCAGACTGCCTTCTTTTATGAAAGGTAATGTTTTCTTCTCTTAAGCTCTAGGCCTGATGGGTTTATGGCTTTAACAGAAAAACCTGAACTCTGGAAGTTAGAAATTGTTTGTACAACAATTGATTTGTAAATTTGTGATCTTGTGAAAGATGTCATTAAGGAATTGTAGGCAAAAGTCAGGAAAATTAGCATTTTATGTTAAATTTAGAAAAATATTAGCTGTGTTGAGCAATTTTAACTGTCTGTGTGTGCTTTTGGTATTGAAATCAACTGGAAAAGTTCACATTTTGCTATTAGGATTAGTTTGATAAGGGGACTAAATAAGTGTGCTTCCAACTAAATGTATATAAATGTTTAGCCTAACATTTTCCCAGAAAAGTCTGAAAAATTAGGGCTAGAGTTTCCTTAAAGGCCTGTTTTACACAGATAATAGAGCAGCAGGTTACCTTAAAAAGAGTGACCGTGATCTCAATGTTTTCTGGTACAGGCCACACCACGACTCCTCTGTAGGGGTTTTTAATGCCAGGCTGCCAGCTGTGAGACTGCAGGAGAGAAGGATGGATGATGAAAAAAAAATTACATTTGGAAATAAGTGGAAATTGAAAATTTTCTTAAACTAAAAATGCATCTAATCCAATACCAACCTTTGAGGATTTCCGTCGACTTCTACGCGTCCAAACCACCACCAGTTTGTCTGGTTGCCTGTGAGAAGAGAGAGAAAAGAAAGATTAATGTAAAAAAGGCCAGTCCATCCACTTCTGTGCTACACTTCAACATATAATTACTGTCAGTCTAAACTAGATTGTATTTTATTGCTTCAAGTTTAAAACCCTGATAAGCCCTCTGCTCTGCACACACATATACAAATACCTGCATAGTCTCACAGCATGAATAAATCATGATGAGACAACTAAACCCCAGCTTTGTCCCTGCAGACTGCAGCACAAACAACAGGATGCACACTTGCAGAAATACAGAGTATACACATACAAGTACGAGTTTAGTCTAACAGGAGAAAAAACAAACAAACAAACAAAAAACAAATAGGGGTCTGAGAGTTAGGATAATCTGATCCAGTCCAGGATGGAATCAGCTGTAAGGTGTAATAACCACTGAGATCAGTGCACGAGCTGTTAGAGGCAGAGCTAACACAGCATGGAGGAAGCAATTTGGAGAGGTTTCACACCTGGGATGCCAGCAGCACATCTTTCAGCCCAAATTCACCAGAAAAACAGTCACGAAAAAGCCTTTTTTGTTGTACATGAACATTAGTACATATGTGAACAGACAAAGCAAACATTGTTATCAGGAACATTAAAAAATAAAAAATAAAAATGTAACATTCATGCCCAGAAACAAAAATCAGTAGATTAGAGATTGTGACCATTTTACAAACTGCCATGCTAAGTTCAGTCACATGACAAGGCAGTGCTGTGGTGGTTAGCACTGTTACCTCACAGCATGAAGGTTCTGGGTTCAAATCCGCCTCCCACAGACCAAGAACGTCCATGTTAGATTATTTTAGAAGAAATATTTACTTATTTTACATCAACAATTGAAGTTGCAGTCTAATAAAAAAAAAGTTTTTGTGACCTGATGTAATTCCTTATTTTAAAAAATATATTAAGTACTGCTGCATAACTTTTTTTTTTTTAAAACTGACAAATGAGATGACAGGCAGCAGTTGAAGGAACAAACCAATACAATTTTTTAAACAGCCTCAAGACAATGCAGGGTGTTCAGAAGAGGAGTGGCTGTAGTTCAGATTAGGCATCTAAGTGCATTCTGAAATGCAGCTGATGGTGCTGCGGTTCATGTGTTAACTGCTGAGGCATACTTTGGCTTTTAGTCATGCTTAAGCATCTCTCTCACTCACTCTCATGGGCAAGCCTCCACTTCATGCTGTGAACCTCTCCAGCTTCATGGATAGCAGTCTGTAGCTAATGCAGACCTCTGGTTTTGCACTGTCATGAAGAAAGGGAGCAAAATACTCTACGTGTATTCATCAAAATAACTTTATAAGCTCTGTGAGTGACTAAATAACAAGAAGCTACATCATATTAATATTGCTATCAGTTACAGATGCACTAATCCAGATTTTCCTACTTCCAATATCACACTAATACATTAGCTTTTGGTATCTGTTGATAATGAGTAATGACATAATACCAGTGTTAAATCAACAATTTTCATCCCTCTCTGTGAGAAAGACTGGAAATCATTCTTTAAATGCATGGTAACATAAATGTTGACTTAAACATCGCCCTCCCAACTTTACATAAAGCAAAACATAAATACAAGGTTATACATTTACTGAATTTGGTATATATTAATCAAATAATGAAAAGCTTCCCATAGTGTATAATCCACAACAAACATCTTTCTAGTTTCTAACTAGTTTGACCTAACATAAGGAGAAGTCAACAAATTAAATGAATATCATAGTATTGAGTTTGTGTCCATTTGTGTGAATCACTGGCTATGAAGACTGATGGATTTTAGGAAACGCTGAAACAGCAGAGTTCACCACGGAGGAGAAGTAGTGCCAAAAAAATATCTAGATTAAAAAAAATTGAGCATGTGAAGAACAGACTTTTCCTGTAGTGGACAGTTTGTACTGTTTTAACACTGTTTCAATGCAATTAATTGGTCTATTTTATGACTTTGCTCTTCATCGTGACAGCAGCTAAGCTTAAGACTCAACAACAACAACAACACAAACACGAGAAAGAGTAAGACAAATAACATTTTCATGCCATTTTCTGCTGACAGTACACAGCTAAAACCTATAGATAACGGTTTACAGAGCGTCCGTGTTGTGTACAACAAACATGCCAGTCTCATTAGAGAGAGGGGAGCAAGCGCAACAAACTGAAAGTAAAACATTTGTATTCTGATACAGTCCTTAACAAACTGTTATGAAAAAAAAAATACAGTAACTATAATTTGGCAGTGGTCTAGCACATCTATTAAGCACTGTATATGCTAGATTCAGCGATAAGACAGAACTTTTACTTTGAAGGCAAATGTTCTCTGTTTCCTGTTTGCATTGCACCTTTCATGTTTCACAGTTTTCGCTACTACATGGTGACCAGTTGGTGAGTGTTAGCAGGCAAGTCAGCATCTATGTCAGCTTCTATGCAAAACTACAGGCAACTGCAGCAATGTGCTAGCAACTAAAGTATTAACAATGTGACCAATAATTTCACCAACAAATCGAAAGCAATTTCCAGTAACAGTCTTCAACCGTCAGGGTGGTTCGCCTACCAGTCGGCGTGACTAAGACCTGAATAATTAAACAGCAGCACATCTTAAACTTAAAATTCAGAATGAAACACTAAGCCTCTTCATGCAGATTGGTATTAAAATCCAGATCTGCATCATGAAGTTCTGTATCTGCAATATTTTAGTGTAAAGTACTGGATGTTAAACACTAGATTTATGCATGCACCAGCCTTTATGTATAAGATTTTTAAGAGAACAATAACAAAGGAAAAGAATGACAGACAGTGTTACAGAGAGCAAAAAAGACAAGAGAAAAGAGGGAAAGAGTGAAAAGAGACAAGAGGAGAGGGGAGAAGAAAAATGACATAACAATTTCAGCCTTGAGGAGAGGCCACACATAGAGGAGCTATTGTCCAACAACAGATGCCATATCAGAGAGAAGGCAGAGACACACAAATATCACCCTCCCTTTGTCTCCTTTGTACAGTATTTGTTGAGCTATGAGAGAAATTTAAACCATTTGTCTGCAGGCTAAATTATTTCAACGCCCTTTTTTAGTTGTGTTCAGCTACAACTTCAAGGCTTCATTCTGTGTGTAACATTAATCAATGAGCCATCAGAGGGGAATGTCACAACACAAAAACACAAATGAGATGAAGACGGCCACAAAAAGGCCTGAGGAAAAACTATTAAAGTGGCATTCATCAGCTCTCAGTCATACCAAGAGTTCACTAGTAGAGTTCACAGCTAGATTACAGCCTTATGTTTACCCTAGATTTGAAATTTAGCTTAGATGTTTTATAATTTTATAGTATATGTTTAGTTGGTTCTGCTTTCTCTTCATGTAAGAACTTTGCAAAGTGGCATCCGGAAAAGACACCAATAGGATAAAGCACAGTACACAGATTAGAATTAAGCCAAGAGTGCTCTGGCCAAAATAAGCAGCAGTAGAACAGAAATTGGTTAAATAGACTAGTGATACCCACACAAATACATACAGCAAAACACAAAATAAATCTGAAACAAATTATTATGAAGTCCAAACCCTAGGAGCGTTTTGTCTCATACTTGAGCATGACCACTACCCTTCTGAATGTTAAGACCTTCACAAACTGGATGCCTAAAATCGGTGCAAATATTTTTTTTGCTTTAAAAATATTTTTTTAGACTCACCTACTCTTACTGCAGCTGATCACGTCAACCGCATAATTTCACTGGATGAATTTGCAGTACTTATTTTTTTGAAACAAGTATTTTATAATCCAAATAAGACCTGACCAACTAGCATTTGGCAACATTTGCACTCGTAACTCAAATTGTGTGCCGTTACTGATTACATAATGACAGTAAAATAATAGTATTTTACTACATTCATACTGCTAGACGCTGCTCCTGGTAAATGTCTGAAATGATTTCTCTGCCTCCTCAGATATGTTCCCAATTCTGCCAAGAACTCAACCTCCCCCACTGACATCCTGAAATATGTACAATGCGCCTGTGATACACCTTCCACTCCTGGACCAAACCATGCCTTCTCCTGAGTATTGGATGGACCCAGAATCTCAGTTTTTACATTTTTCGTATTTATTCAGGAGAAAAATCAGCCCCTCCAATTAATTTACTCAGTAGGAATCCCATCGCTTTTATTTTAAAATTTCAGTTCATGTTAATCAAGTACCCTCACCCCCTCCAGTCTTGGGTTGGACTCTGTCGTCTCTGAATATCCCAAATATCCCAGAAAACCACAAGCAAACTCAATGTGACCACAACATAGAAAGAGGATAATACATTTATTTGACATAGATTTATTTTACCAACAAATATTTCCATTTAAAGAAAGATAAAATAAACTAAAGGTCTGGAGCTCCAGTCAAAGAACTGATACCACAGCAAATGGATTGGTGTTTATATAGTGCCCACTCAAAGCAATCCTACACAACAAGCCCCGTTCTATTCTATTGGCAATTTGGGGTTGAACATCCTGCCCAACACACAGACTAGAGGAGCCACAGGTCAAACCACTCACTTTCCCATTAGCAGATAAGCTGCTCTATCAAATTGAATTCAATTTGTTTAAATAGCATCAAACAACAAGAACAGTTGCTCTACTTCCTGCACCACAGTAACCTCAGAATAAATTAGTAAAAGACACAAGACACAAAAAAGTGGAAGGAGTCTGGGCCAGCCACATAAAGTGCAGTAGGATTCAGGACTTCTCTAAAAAGAGACTACCAGGATCTCCATCCTGAAAGCAGAGAAACACTCCCACGAGGAGGTCTGGGAAATATGGAGCGCCTTTTCCGGCCTCCCTCACAAAAGTACTCCATACCTAAAACATTTCATAATGAGAGAGCGGAGATGGGCAAAAGACTAGAGACAGGAGAAGCTGAGAAAGGTAGTCCTCATTCTGATCTAAAGATTTGAAGTAAAAAAAAACAACTGGTTCATGTACTGCTAACGCTGTGCTCGCCAAGGCT